AGCCCCTCCCGAAAAAAAAGGAGTCAAATTCGAGAAGCTGTGGCACCGCTATTCTGAATATTTATGACATCAAAAATTTTATTTTCTCATGGAATTTACTGTCAATATTACAAAATTAAATAAATGTTTTCATTTTTTATAAACAGATTTGTAAAAATGTCTGTTTATATTACCCTTCTTCCTTAAATTGGCAACTAGGCCCGCAAGAAAACCTAATGAAATTTAGTTTACATGTACGTTAGTAACTTTTAGCTGCACGTTCTATGCTCATACATAAGCGTGTACGCATATATTATTAGAATACTAAAGTAGGATTCTGTCCTTCCTTATAAACACAAAATAAAATTAGGTAAAAAGTTTTAATTAAAAGCTTATATTTGAAGGTAAAACATTGGCGGCAAAAATGTTAAATAGCCAAAAACAATGCACTAGATTAAAGAAGTGAATGATAAATAAGAATGATACTAAAATTTAAACAAAGTACAATTATAGAAAACTGACATGCATCATTTTCGTTAGAAAAAGAGGAGAAGCATAACAAGAGTCACTATAAAGCGATACATAGAAATTCAAATATTTGAAGTAATCATAAAAACAGTACACAATATTTGTCATTTGAAAGAAGTGAAAAGTACCGCAACGTTAGAAAACTTATCAGCTTAAAAGTTTCTTTCAACCTTTGCCTAAAGGAAGACATTTTAGATAAGATATAACACAAAATAAGATAATATCTGGTTTTTACTACTTTCGTAGTTGAAGACTGCCTTCCTAGTTAACTCTAGTTTTAAAATGAATTAAAAATCTAAGTTAAGGATGAAAAATAAAATGGTAAAACGTAGAACGCAGAATAGCATAAAAGTACGGCTAAAGTTTATTTAGTTCTCATTTGGCTGTAAAAACAATTAACTACAAACCAAAAATTGCTGCAGACCTTGCAGCCTGCTAGAAACAGATGATTTTGTTATTTGCTACTCAGAGAAACATTCCACAATCTACAGGGAAACGCTTATCTAGAAAGTTCATCCCAAGCACGTTTTTCTGATGCAATTTAACTATATTTAAATTTCACTTACCTTTCGCTCTCTCGCTCTGAAAATTGCAAAAGCTCCAGCAAATCATTGCACTCTTAATTTTACTTCTAATTTGTAGCCTTTTTGAATTGATGAGTTATTTGAAAGCAGAAAATCGATAAAAGAGAAGGAACTAAAACTATTTTAATGTTTAGAAAATTAATAAAACCTTACAATAATAACTACTACATAAAAATGAGAAGAAAGAAGAAAAGTAGGGAAATAAAAGTTAAAATGAGATGCAGTAAAAATGGTAAATGATATCTTTTACATATGAGTTTCTTCCCCAGTTCTCCTTCCTCATATTTTGTTTTACATGTTGCAGACCATTTCTTTCTTTCTTTATTTTTTTATCAAACAGAAGGATAAGTTTGAAATTTCAAAATTCTAATTTTATATTTTTAGCCATTTATATTTTATACATTGCTTCCTCAAATAAGTTAAATGCATTTTATTAGTTTGCCCACCAGCGGCCGAGCGGTAAAGTCGCTTAACACTGGTAGTTCGGTCCGAGGTTCGAATCCCGCGAACGGGCTGGCTGAATGGCGTTTTCGTGGTTTTCCCCACGTGTAACGTGTATACGAGCCAGTTTCCCTTAGAAAGTCCTCCACGAAGGCATCCCTCCTCTTAGGCAGATAGCCCTCGAGGCTTTGCCATAATCACACACACACACACATTTTATTAGTTTAAGGTATCCGACCACGTTCGGGTACCATTTTTTTAAAAATGATTTTTATTTTAACTATAAACATATTAATTTGAAGAAAAGCATATTAATGAGTGAAAACAATTTAAAACGTAATGCTAAGTAATTTTAATTTTGAAAAATAATGAAAAAAAGGATAATTTTTGCTTAAATTTTGCCTTTACGGCAACAACGACGGTGAACAATGTATATATAAATACAGTTTTTTTAATTTGTATTTATACTTACACTTGTTTTGTATGCAGTGAAGCAAAATAATTAAGAAATATTCGTATATTTTTGAGATATGTCAAAATGTATAGTATTTACTGTATATTTTCCTATTATTCCATCCAAAATCTAAAAATAAAAAGTAACAATTCAACTTCTAATTAATATTTCTAAAATCTTTTGCTTCAAAGCATGCATCAGATTATATGAAACATGTATAGAAAGTATCATTAAATTTTATCCATAAAATGTTGAGTTATGGCTGTTACCATTGGCAATATTTACAGATAAAACATTTTTCAGAAAACAAGTTTAAAGTTTTCATAAAACAATTTCTTAGTGAAAGAAGCGTCCCTGATAGTTAAAATTCCCCTGCTTTGTAACTTAACACCTTGTTTTTTCTTCCCACACTTTGCGACTTTTCTTTCGAACAAAGTGTAGTTTTTTCTGTGGGATTTTGTAAAACTTGTGGAATGCCACCAAAAGTCATGATTTTGCACTTTATCAAGTTTTCGAATTCCCTGCTCAGTGTAAAATTCAGGGCACATACCTAACCTTGAAAACGCTTCAAGCAAACCTATAAATCCATCATTAGATAACATTAAATAACCCAACACTTACATTTGCTCCAAACATTAATATTCGCAAGTTTATGAACGTTTCTTTCGGAACAATTTGCAATAAAATGCCATTAAAACGTTTCTTGATATTTTGAGTTTTGCCATGTAGACACTTTTTAATAACTCTTGTTTATACCAGAGGTTTTTGCCTAATTTTTTTCTTTCTGATTTTTTCCTGATTTCTGCAATCACACATTCATAGTTGCACCAATTCATTGATTATTGAGGAGGGCATTGGCTTCGAAGAAGAGCTACAATGGAACAAGCAGTTAGTACAACCTGCTGCATCTCAATTAAGTTTCAAACATGACTTCTAATTGCAATCCCTAATTCTGCAGTTTATCAATAAAAGAATCAGTCAGTTTACCTTTTTTTTTCAATTCAAGAGAGGAGTTTTTTTACTTTTCGTAGTCCACTACCAACCCTTTTCTGTACATGTTTAATGCATTCCACTTTCTTGACCGAATCTTTACCATATATATCTTTCCCAATTAAAAACCCCTAGAATACCCATCCTCGTAATACTCCGTTTGCTTCAGCTTTCGTAATGTAATAGATCATTCAAACAGGGAATTAGCACCAACTGCTTCCATACCCGAAGCTGCTTCTTTATAATTTGCAGAACAATTATATTATGCACTTTACAATATGTCGTGCTGAAGATTGCATGCCATTCTGTTTATTTTGTGTGCAAATGATGCAAAAATGTGACATAGCTTTTCAAATCAAGCACTTTGTCAACGCTAATCGACAAAGCAGCAACACATACATTCAACGTCGAATACCCTCTGCGCCTAACTAAATACGAAATTAAGGGAAAAAACTAACACCAGATTCTTAAAATGTATTACAAAATATCTAAACTTAGTACGCAGGTTTATAATTTACAAAATCTTGATGATAAATAAAGTTTCTAAATAGGTATATTTATTTAAACGCTCACTTCCGGCCCAGAATATTGGAACTTCCGATTTATTCAGTTACAGAAAAAAGCTTATAACTTCAGTTCTAATTAACCTATCAACAAGCAAAAACTTGTATTTGATAGCTAAAGATGTATTCTTTAAGATAATGTAATAAAATAAAAATCGAAATTTTGACCGAAAATCGTCTTTTGTACGAGGTCGGATACCTTAAACTAGCTGTCTACTTCCCCAGCTTCCGTTAATTATAAGTAGCTAATATCTTATTTTTACGTACATTACCTTTATTCATTTGTTTCGTTTGCTTGGATACAATTTTCAGCTTCACATTTTTATACGCCTACCTCTGATCATTTTTAATTTAAATTTTTTTACCGCTCATGTTATTATTTTTAAAGTGCTTATTTTTTTATACGTTTCTGCGGCTTTCCGTATTTGTAACGTGAATACGAGCCAGTTTCCTTAAAACCTTGTCCACGAAAGCATCCGTTCTCTTAGGCAGATAGCCCTTCGTGGGCTTTGGCATAATCTAATTACCTAATCTAACATTTTATACGTCTTTAGATTTAGATTAGAGTAATTTTAAAATGCTTTATTTTCTATATATTTTAATTTTAACACTTTAACTAGATAGCGATTAGCAGAAGAGAAGCTGACAGACTTTCACACCTTTAGGTGTTTCTTCAAATCCCAGATAAGGCATGGAACTAGTGACTGTAAGGTCTTTGCTGCGTGGGCCACTTAAAATAAATTCAGGAAAAGTTCTGCCGAGAGTCTGGTATTAGATAAGAGAAGAATTGTGCTAGAATTTCGACTTCCACTTTCGTAGAGCTCTCCGCCCAAACTGGGATGAAATTCACGCAGATAGCCTATGCGTTTTTTTCCTTGTATTAAATAATCTATTTTGGCTAAGATATGTAATATTGAACACTGAATTTCATTACAGAATCATTGTTTTTGTCATAATTTAACTTTCCAACGTTAAGAGAAAAAGTATCAGCTCATAATGGGAAGCAAGCATAAAAACATGTTTAACAAGCTTTTAACATTTGAAATCTGAAAAAAAGGTAGTTAACTATGAAGCATTTTGTTTTAGTTTAACCACAATTCGTAAGTTTTCTGTTCAATTTCTTATCATTTCTGAAGGACCTGAACGGCAGATGAATGAACAATTATATGCAGAATGTTCATCTATTATTCAGTCAAGAAGAATTTGTTAGAATGTAATGTAAAACTCTTTACAAGTAAATAGATACCTTTAAAGATTTATTAGGAAAAACATTTCTTATTTAGATTTTAATATTTTCAGAGCGGCAGGTTTTTTAAAGTGTAACAGAAGAAATACATGCGAAAAAGCATAACATTGAAGTCATCAAATTTGTCCTTTTTTCAACTGTTCATTAAATTGTTCAAAATGTTTTTTTAATACTGAATTCATGTACAGTTTCTTATATCACCTTTTTATTTTCAGATTCCTCAGTCATTGGCTAGGTAGCTAATATTGTTAAATTCTAACAGCTTTTACCTGTCCGAAATGCATCAAGGTAAGCTGCAGGATTTCGTACCTGTGATAGACGTCATGTGACACCGGACTTTCAAAAACAATCATCTAGATGTATTAATCAGTATTATTCATCTTCATCACGCTTGCAAACATGGCTTCAGCTCTTAGAAAGCTTTTTAAAACTTCGGAGCGGCATAGGTCTGGCGATAGAGCAGGCGGCTGGCGCCGCAAAAACAACAGCAAGAATGGACCCGCCGATTCCCCAACACATCACAACCATTCAGCAGCTATGCGTTTTTTCGGGCATTGTCCAAGCCCTAAAATGTCAAAAAGAGATACAAACAAAATCAGCCCAGAAGATGGTGCCAACAGCCAGAAACTGGCATCTAGTGCGAACGGTGCGAGTGGAATCAGCAGTCATTCCGATTCATTCAATGCTTGCGCAGTCGACAAAACATCTTCCACAGGAAGCACTGCATCTCCAAATCGTAGTGTCCGTTTCAAGTCGTCCAAATCTTCAAAAACTGCCCCTAAAGCACCTATAGCTGAAGGTCCGTCATTAAAGCACACCCAAACGGTCCGAACGCGCCGCTTGATGAAAGAGTTCCAAGAAATTACAAAGTATTCCAGAAGTTTGGAAAAACCGCCGTTTGTGGTAGAGTTAGTGGATGACAACTTGTACGAATGGAACGTGAAGCTCTTTCAGATTGATCCAGAGTCAGATTTTTATCACGACATGCAGGAGGCGGACATTGGACATGTTCTCCTTAACATGGTCTTCCCTGAAAATTTTCCGTTTTCTCCACCTTTCATGCGTGTTATTTCTCCACATGTTGAAAAAGGATTTGTGATGGAAGGAGGAGCTATATGTATGGAGTTGTTAACCCCGAGAGGATGGGCCAGCGCATATACCATTGAGGCAGTTGTAATGCAGTTTGCAGCTAGTTTGGTGAAAGGCCAAGGTCGAATAGCTCGCAAATGCAAGAATGGAAAAGAGTTTAGTCGCAAGTCAGCTGAAGCATCTTTCCGAAGTTTGGTGAAAACTCATGACAAGTACGGATGGGTGACTCCACCTCTTGCTGATGGTTAATCTACTTACCGTGTTCACTTCGGCTCTATTAGGTAAAGTATTACTTTTACTTAATTTTCATGGCTTAACGCTGCCTAAAAATCCGAATCTTTTAAACAAATCAATTTATGTAAATAGATTTAATTTTTTTAGAATTCCTAATTTAGTGTACATAACGAAATAGCATTACTGTACCAGATTTACATGTCGTCAGTTTTCCAGAGGATTAAACAATCCAATTTTTAAAACTGCGCCTGGAGTGCTGCAACTACATTGATATTGCATTGAGATCACTTTTTATATAGAAATGCAAAAAGTAACGAATTATGACAACCAAGATATTTGGAGGCTTAGAAAATATTCATAGATAAAACGCATAAAGCAAGTGCTTTAGTTATTATTGATCAAATCCAATACAATATTAAGGGTAAAAAATAATGGTAAAATGTTGCGAGTACATATTTAGATTAATAATTTGGATTTGTGAAGCAGTATTCTTGATATATTCTCAATCTTCTGAAGCTGAAATATTTTCAATGTATTGCCTGATTAAAAAATATGAAGCAGTTTATTTATTAATGATCAGCATCCAATTAGAATTTTTTCTATATTTTTGAAGGTATATTTTTCTCATTTTTACAGTAAAGAAAGAAATGATGTTTCTCAATAAAAGTAATTAATTTCATATTCATTCTCTGGATTTATAAATGAGGATATTCAGTTATAAAAACATATCATCAACAAAAGGGCAAGATAAAGAGTTACTTTGCTCTTTCTTTTTTTTTTTTTTTTAATTACTAAGCTTTGAGCAAATTTGATTTTTAAAATGCTTCTTAAAGATGAATTTTGCGAAAATTTAATGATAAAAACTGCTAAACTGAGGCATTTTTAAATGTGTAATTACAACGCATGAAAATTTAACAATTCAGAGAAAAGAAATTGCAAATTTCATTTAATTAATGAACGATTTTACAGAGGAAAGTATACGAAAAGATTTTACCTTCTGACTACAAAGCAGACTGTATGCGTACTTTCAGAATGCCTTTCATAAATCCTTTACCTGGCTATTGTGTCATTTATGCAGATGAAATCAGCTTAAGATATCGGGATTCATAGCTATTTAATTAAGATTTTTTCAACATTTCATGAAATAAAAATTGACTTTACATTAATTTAAGATTTCATTTTTTAATTAAACAGTCTAAGTTCACATATTGTTGGGATTGTTTCTTTTACTCTCTTAACTGGTTGGTGCCTTTGGAACAAGCCTGAGGTATAAAAGATATCGCTTTCGAGTTCTTACAAAAAGAGTAAATACTTCTGAAGGGGCGGAGTTAAGCTGAGGATGTCTGTGTATAAGACAGCCACTGTATATAAGAAATATTTATGCAACTGCGGTAAATACTCATTTTTAGCTTTTTATTCACACACATCAAACAGATATGTCTAAATGTCTGTTCATATGCAGTTAATAAACTAAAATAATGTCTATACAAAAATTATTTTGATGCATTGACTCAGAAAAAGATAGCATCAATTAAATCTCTAATCTCTTGCTTTCGAAATAATTTAATACTTATGAAAAAAATGTTATGTTTTGGTGCAGGGCTAGCTTTCTTTCAGTTTTACTTTTGACTTCAGTTATATATTTGATTTTTAAAGTCTTAAATAAAACAATGGAAATCAATTTTAAACTAAATTTTGTCATATTATTTAACTAGTCCAGTGTTCAGACCCCACACCACGAAGGCACGCCAAGAAGGTGGGAGACATACCTTATATACACCCCGTTTTAAAGTCCGACTGGGGTTTCTAGGGGACCCGATCGCCAAATCCTGAGTGTGGAGAATCATCATCCACCACCCTTTTAGTTAGGGCGCCACTGTAGAGACATTAGGTATTTTTGGAAACAGGAAAAATGAAAAATGAGCAACGCATTCACCGGGAATCGAACCAAGGAACTCTAGAATACGCGCCCAGTGTGCAGACCACCACACCACGACGGCATGCTAAGAAGGCGGGAGAAACACACTATAACTGTACGATTCGTAACAGTTTGAATTTTTCAATATTAGTTGAAATATTTCGTAAGAACTTTTCAAAAAATCAGCATTGTAAGGTAAAACTTTTACTTAAAAAATTTCAATAAGATAGCTTTTTATTAGATTTTAATAATAATTTTTAATTTCCGGTATTTTTATTGTATTTGGAATCAGGCAAAAGAGCAGCTTTAGTTTGACGGAGATTATGAATAAATTTTTATCGACTTTTTATCGACATAGATTCTCCTCTTCTTCATTTTTCTTTTTCTTTTTCATAAACTTTCGAAAAAGAGGGTTTGATCATCCTGAAAACCGATGAAGTTTTATGCAAAACCTTTGCCTAACTAAAGCCGCATTTTTATTTAATTTTCAATTTTACTTTTGGATGTCTCTCTTTTAATTTGATTTTCATAATACACAGTTCAAAATATCTCTATTTTTGAAGTTAAATAAGTTCATGCTTTCATGAATTTTAACTAATAATTTTAAAATCTTACGATTGGTTTGCGCAACTTGTAATTTAAAACCTTTATGCCCTTAATATGAAGCATGAATTTCATTCTTATGCTTAATCAGTGCAGTAGAAGAATTTATAAAATATTTTGCAAGAAAATTGCAAAATATGTAAAAAAAAATAATTTTCTTCAACTTTGAAAAAATTTGAAATTTTGAAAAGAAATTATTTTTGTAGCACTTAATGATAAATTCGAAATGAAACCATTTTACCCAACTGTAAACTAGAAAAGAAATATAATTCACTTTCTTTACCGAAAATATAACATATTCTTGAATAATAAATATAAACTTCCATGCAATCATCTGTCAGTCGAAAACAGGGACGAAAAAAATAACTATGTTTAATGATCTCGGCCATTTGACCTTAGTGGGCACTTATTAGAACAACATTAATCAAAATTCCCAGGAAAAAGGATCCTTAAGTGCAAGTATATTTATCAGACATAATCGCAACAACAAATATGCATAATATGACAAATGAAAAAAACTGTAATCCATTCATTACAATCCTAAAAGTTTACCTAATAATATATATCTTCGTTATTCTAGTATTAACACGTAACTTAAAATATTTTCTTTCGCCTTAGTGTTTTTCTTTAAGTAAACTTGCTAATATATATTTTTAACCACGGCCAGAATAGATCCTTGGAAACGTATCGAAAAATGTAGCATAAATGAATTGGTATTTACTCTGAGATAAACAAAACGCATGGGGAACTGATGCGAACCAAATTGTGAAAACTGGATAAAAATTCTATTTTTTAAAGTAGAAGTTTGCGTGATCTGTATGAAATAGCAGCTTGGCGGCGTGCCGGCCCAAGACAGGTATTATAAAAATAAACTGTATACACTGTATTCACAAAAGTCCTTAACCGGCTTTTATTCTCAGAAATGTTGGTTATAAACATATCCTTCCAGTCTCAAAAATGGTTTGCATGTCGCAAAGATTCCCGTTTTCGTATTTTTAAAATTAAAAAAAAAATTTTTTTACAAAATATGAAATCTATCTTTTTACATAATTCTCCGATCATTGTACTCATATTTTGTTAAATTTTGTAAAAAAGGAAACACAAAAGCTTTGACTCCCGTATAGTAAAAATTGGCCGAGAATTCAAAATTTGCGATATTTGACGTCATTTTGAATATGCATTGAGGAGTCGGTTACTAAACAAAGTAGGATAACCCGAGAGTAGGTTCTTTCCTCTTAAATCCCACGCAACGATATGTTTTTTTCTCTGTGTGTGTGATTTATTGGTGCTTTAATTTATACTCTTGTTACATTTGGTTCTGCGAAGGAAATTTCGACAGAGGTAATTAATAAGTTTTCAGAGTCTAGAAATACATCATTAATATACTCATGAAGTTTTATTACTTTAGATTCATACGCCGGTAATCGCGAAATGTTCATTCAAATACAGAGTGTTATAAATGAATGGAGCGGTTTTAAAAATTAACAATAAATCGATGTATTACTTTATATGGGCAAACCTTATAGCATAAGCAGCACCAACTGTCCAAGTTTTTGATGCATTAATCCCAATCTTTCAATATCTACCCTTGGTCACACAACACTCATCTACCACGGTAATCAAATTCTTCTCGTACTCGGTGCAGCATGTCCGCCGTGACGGTCTGCAGTGCATGCTTTATCCGATCAAAACTTCCTCAAGAGACAGGAACACTGAAGGTATATAAACTCGGTCCTTAACAAATTCCCAAAGAATGAATTCGCATGGTGTTAAATCTGGCGAAAGAGGTGGCCAGGAGAGAAGCTTGTTGTCTTCTGTTGCAGCACGTCTAGTCCAGCGTTGGTGAAGAACACGATTTAAGAAGCTCTCGTACATTCATATGAAATTGGGGCGGAGCACCTTCCAGTTGCAAAGCATCATAACTGATATTCAGTTAGGGTAACAACCAGGTTTCCAGCAATGTCTAGAAATGAGTCACCGATCACAACCGATCACAATTTCTTGTTTGAAGAAAAATGGGCCATGAACATTCTCGCGGGACACCGCACAGAAAACGTGCATGAAACTCACACTGCACTGAAACCATAGATCTGGACATCTCAAAACGGAGCACACAAAAAGTCTTTTCCTGTTGCAAAGCCATCTTGGAAAGTGACGCTGCGGCTGCGCAGTAAGCACGACAAGCAAACAGCAGGCAGCACATGAGAACACACTTGGACAGTTGTCAATGCTTACGGTGCAGGTTTTACCACGGGTAAGGTAATTCATCAATTTATTATTAATTTTTAAAACCCCACCATTAATTTATAAATCCCTTGTACAAATGTTTTTTCTTTTTTAATTAATGAAAATGATATTACGAGTTAGCTACGTGCCAGTACTGAAGCTTTGCAGTTTTCTAGAGCATGAAGTCTATAAGATTCTGTCAGTAAGATCTCCTTTCTGAATACGTATATGTATGTGATAAAAAAGACGTAGCATTGTTGATGGCGTAGAATGTAGAATGTTGAATCCATAATGAACAGC